AATATAGTGTGTATTATCCAGAGCATCACTAATGTTTCCACGTTAGTGAGCGTGTAGACGTTCAGTCAGCCGAGCAGAGCTCAGTAAACCGGGCAGGAGCAAGTGACAGACTCCCGGGGGAGCATCACTCCATCGTTTAAACAATAAACCTTTAGATGAAGCAGATATTCACTGGACGCAAGATACATCAACGTGTGTGTGTTTCAAAAATAAAACTCATCAACAAGAGTTGGAACAGTATATATTAAACCTGTTTGACCACTGCACCGGGTTTCCTCCTCCACCCCCGCGTCCGCTGAATGGTTCGCTCCGCCGCTGCAGGTCTGCTTCGTGCAGCCTCGTCGCTATCAGCCGGAGGATCGAGTCCAGTGTATGTGTGTGTGCGTGTTTGTCTCCCGCTGTATGTGTCGGTATCGGCCCTGAAATGAACGAGGAGTCCGCTCCTCAGAGACGGACACCGGGGGGAGGACTCAGACTGTCCCGGGACGCCTGTTACATCTGCGAGCTGCGGGTTATTATCACCGATCACCGGCAGTAATGACCGGTAATGACGCCTCGCGGTGCGGCTCGTGTGTCCGTGACAACCGGGGGATGGTGCCGAGGAGCGCGCGGTGCTGTGGAGGAATCCTGAACACATCCCACGTTTAATACGTGACGAGACAGTGACATTAGTGGGGAGATGCGCCATGTTCCCGATGCACCTGCACCTCAACGGTGATCCTGGGCTGATGGAAAACCTCTCAGTGACGGTCCCAGCATTTATCAGTCTGCTTTACCTCACCGTGCTACCAAGAGTCACATGTGCGACCATTCTCCACCAGCCTGATCACTGCTTCCTCTACCTCATCTTTAAGCCAATGAATCAAATGCCATTGAAAGGACCAGTGTCATGAGAAGCTTAACCCCACATCAGATGCTTTTATCTGGACACGAGTGTGTTTTCTTCACACTGAGGATCACAGGAAGTGCTGGAGCCAAAGCCCAGCTGACATTTGTGAGAGGTGGGGTACACCCTGGACAAGTCACCTGCCCATCACAGGGAAACAACCATTCACGCTCAATTAACCTAACCACAATCTGCATGTTTTAATACTGTGGAAGGAAGAGAAAAACTCCACCAAGAAAGACCCCAGCCTCACCGTGATTCAAACTGGGAGGCGACTAACCCAGTGTCTTCAAGTGACAGCAAATCTCTTCATTTGCACCTACATCATCATAGACCTGTGGAATGCTTGATCTCAAGATGAAGGAGACGTGTCGCATTTGTGGCCGGGAGCTCTGTGGCAACCAGAGGCGATGGATCTTCCACCCCACCCCCAAGCTCAACCTCCAGGTGCTGCTGTCCCATGCCCTGGGGCAAGAGCTGACCCGGGACGGCAGAGGGGAGTTTGCCTGTTCCAAGTGCACCTTCATGCTGGACCGCATGTACCGCTTCGATACGGTCATCGCCCGTGTGGAGGCCCTATCCATCGAAAGGTTGCAGCGGCTCCTGCAGGAGAAACACCGGCTGAGGCAGTGCATCGGCGGACTCTACCGGAAAACTAACTCAGAAGAGGGTACAGTTTCTGTTGGTGGAGGTAATGAAGTGCCAGGAGATGGCATGGTGGACATTTCGGGTCTCACTCATGCAAAGTACTGTGCCCTGCTCCAGGATGACCTGGTCTACTCTTTGTACGAGTCCTGGGCTGACGACAACCTAGACTGTCAACATCACCACCACCCGCAGTGTCCTGCAGGCCCGGGGTCAGAGATTACAGTTGCTGGCTCCCAGCGCTGTTTGCCCAGCACTCCCAGGAGGTGTCGAGGATGTTCCCACTGGCGGGTGGCAGACTCTGACTATGAAGCTGTTTGTAAGGTGCCCAGGAAGTTGGCAAGGAGCATTTCATGTGGACCATCAACAAGATATTCAGCCAGTTTTATCGGAGTAGGAGGTGGTGGAGAAAAAGACAGACTAAGTGTTGACGATTCAGAAGAACCCCCCTCCTCTCTAACTCTGGTCCCTGGTTCGCAGGACCCCTCAAGGACATCAGACAGTGATCGCACCCTGGCCGGACATTCCAGCTCCAGCCACTCTGTAGCATCCCTAGAGGTAGCTGAGGAATACATCCAGTCTGGAGTCATAACAGATGGTCCTCTGAGCTCCCCCAAGGACCCCACAGATGACCAGATATTCGACTCCCTCTCTGATGAGCACATGGGAGCCCCACATGGTCAAGCCTCACCTGGGCCCAGCCTCTCTCTGGCCCTCTGTTTGCTGCAGAGCTGTGCCATCTACCGGCCAGTCCGGAGCTCTAAGGGGAGCAAGCTACCAGTGCTGCTCCGGCAGAGCACCAGAAACGGAGGCATGAGGCTGGGATTCCCTGATCCTGTCCTTGGAATTTCGTATGGAACTCCAAACAGAGAAAGTTACATCCGAATGCCAACACCTGAGCTGGAGTCCCCTCTGATCAGACTGGATCAGAACTTCAACCCAAATGACATGGAGGATATATTAGAAGATTTGTACAAAGAGTACCCTCGCCCACCTCCACACCAGGTATAAAACCCTGAGTGTTTCATTACTGTGGGATGATGACACTTGGTGGAGAAGAGGGATTTTTGCCTATGCACCACAAATCTGCAATAACTGCTGCCTCGAGTGGACCAGTCTAACAGGCTTTAATCTTTGACAAGCAATTGGTGCAGCCTCCCCACTAAATGATAATTCTCACACATTATCTTACCGTGATTAGCACCATAATCCAGCTGTCCGTCACTTAAATCCTACCACAGCCTCACCCACAAGCTTTTATTCAGGAGAATGGGAACTATGGTAATGGGTCTGTTTCCTGCTTAGTTATCTGTGTGTTAGAATACATTACATGAGCAGTCAGGTGTGTAAGTGGTGAAACTCGACATGGCCTAATTTCCTAGTGTGTGTGTGTGTTCACTCATGTACAAAGAGGTCATTGGTTATGTAAACAAATTGGAAGTAAAGAGTAAAACCTGCATTTTGCAGAATTTTATTGCTGTGGATCCACGTTTTTCTTCTGCTACAGCTGGTAAATACTCTGAGGCATGAACACGGCCTGTAGACAGATAACTCTTCCAGTATTTCCAGTTTAATTTACGTTGCAGCACCAGATTTTCTGCACTAGTACATAAAGAGAGGCGTGTGTCAGTGCTAAGCGTACGTGCAAAGAGCCCTAATAATCATCTGTTCATCATTATAGTTTTTGGAGGGTGTGCGTTTGAATGAGATGATCTTCTTTAATAAGTGTGCGTGATCTTGGTGCAGGGGCTGCTGACTGAAATAGGTTAGACGTGGGGGGAGACATTAAGACTGTGACTCCACTACTGTCCTATTTTCACCCAGAGCCCTTGAGGCAAAATGATCCACGCAATGCCAGACCACCCTGCTGTCTCAATGCTGGTTGGCTGCCGCAGCAACATGAATTTAGTGATAATGTTATTTTTTTATTTTATCTATATTAAACCACATATTGGTTATTGTAAATTAATGTTTCATCAGTGTGTATCATGGCAATATCCTCCCCTTCAGTTTTTCTTTGGAAGTTGGAATTATTCATACACTGATGTATGGATCAGTGGAAATGATGTATGGAAAGTTATGCAGCCTTCAGGCATATTTTCTGAAAATGTGCTTTTATTGGTTTTTATTTTTTTAAATATTGGCTTAATTGTCTTTATTACAGAGTCTTGTTGAGGAGCAGCAAAGCCAGCTGAACCAGTATGAGTGTGCGGCCGGTCAGTGTGTCAGCGAGCTGCAGAAGGCCCAGCTCCACGTTCAGTCTCTGCAGGCCAAGATCCACGAGAGCGAGGCAAACAATATGGTATGACACGTAAAAACCCCTCTTTGCAGCTTGATATGTTTGTTAAAAGCAAACTTGTGGCCTGATTACGGCCTGATGACAATTTCTGTCTTCGTCTGTAGAAGCTGCAGGAGAACCTGAAAGAGATGGAGTTTGAGCTGCGTTCACTCCGCCAGGCAGCTCACAGTCAGGAAAGAACAATCCAGGACCTCACGGAGTCAATGAGCACAAAAGACAGTGAGGTGTGTGTTTGTTTTTGTGTTGTTTGTCACTGTGAGGTGATGCCTGCTCCCGTGGAGAAGGTGCTCATGCATATTCATTCTGCTATAAGGCTCAGGAGCTGTATCAGATGATTGAAGGGCAGAACGCCACGCTGTGCAAGCTGCAAGAAATAGTCCACCGCAACCAGCTCTCTCAACGCAAGGTGAGACCTGATACACATCCTTGTTGATAGAGAGACTGCTTGTCTCCAGGCTAATTTTCTGCTGTTTGTGTGACCTTGGTCCATGGCTGTTCCTTCTCCAGGTTCCAGAGGGGGCCAGTGAGTCCTTGACGCTCGCCCAGCTGCAGACTGAGCTGGTGGGGGTGCAGAGCTCCCTGTTCTCCCTTGGTCTGGAACTGGAGTCCAGCCAGAGGAGTCTTAGACAGAGCCAGCGGCAAGGAGACGACTTAGTGAGATTCAAGGACAGACTAAACTCTGATCTGCAGGAGGCGCTGCAGCACCGGGAGGTCACGGAAAAACACAACCAGGTCAGTGTGTTGTGTGAGGAAATTAAACATTCACTCGCCTTGAAGTGTTGGCAATTCAATGTGCGTGTAACCGCTCATCCCTGCGCTGTAGGACCTGCGCTGTGCACTCCAGAAAACTCGCTCTGAGTTGCAGGCTAAAGAAGCAGCTCTGAAGGGGAGCGAAGCAGAGAAACTCGCTGTGGTGCAGGAAAAAGAAACAGGCATCGCGCAGCTCAAACACTGCCTGAAGGACAAGGAGCAACAGTTAGAGGTAACACACAGACATACCTGCACACTTTGCACACACACAGTATGTGGATACACACATACACAGATTTCTGATCCTGTCTAAAAACCTTTATCTCTGTAGGAGTACTCAGACATGTTGGATTCAACAGCAAGCTCCAAATCAAGAGATGCTCTGCTGGAGAAACTTAGAGAGCGTATTAAAGACAGAGACAGAGCTCTGGAGGTAACGCACACACACACACACACACACACACACACACACACACACAC